GCTATTAATACCAAGACCAAGACAACCCGGATCTAGTGCTCCTCCTCCCCGGCAGGCTTTGCTTTGAGACATTACTCAGATTATCTACTTGCAGACGAGGTTGAGCTGCTTGGATCTCTGCAAGGCGGGGCCACCCCTGCTGAGGACTAGGCAGCTCAGTACACATCGCTGGACACCTGAACAACACAGCTGACGGAATGGGGAGCGACCTTGGAGTTTCCCATCTGCTGGGCCAGCAAGAGGCCATCCCTGGCCAGGGCATGTATCTGCTGCCCACGCATCAGTAATAATTGAGAAAACCTCCCTTCTGGAGAGGGAAAAAATGCCTATTTGTGACAGGGCTCCTCAGAGGCTGAAGGCCAAGTCCGCAAGCTCAGCCACAGCAAGGAAACTCTGATGGACCCACGCTGGTGGTGTGTGGTCACATGTTTCTGCGCCTCCCTCGCTACTGTGTCCTGCTCTACCTTTTTACCCAAACCAGTGGGGAGCTGATGGTAAAAATGAGCTCATCACTGTGGCGCAGCCTCTGCCCGGCTGCCTGAGAAAGACGAAGGCGAGTTCGCTGCCGTTGCTTTTTGTGCCGAGGGTTAAACCTGGCACCGGGCAGAGCAGAGGAGCTCCTTGGTGAGGGATGGTCCTGCCTCCTTCACAGGAGACCGCTGGGACATCACGGGTGGACATATGCTCGAACGCCGCACACGCTCCCTCTGAGACCCTCTTCTCCCCCACAGCTGTGCTGTACTGACTCGAGGAAGCCCCTTTGGAGATTTTTCCTGTTTTACTCATCAACCATTCCCGCTATTGCTTCCTGCCGGGGTCAGGAGCGGCTTCCTCATTTGCTGATCTCCCAGCGTTTTCAGTGCAGCTCTACTAAACAGCTAAGGGTGGAAATTTTTTTTTCCCTCCTAATCCCCCCCCCCCTCACAAAAGCAAAACATTTGGCCTTCAGTTAAACTAAATAGATTTTTTTTTTCTGTTAAAAGTAGGTCTCACGATCCCCGTGTGACCCTGGTGGGAGGACAGAGCTGAGGCGGCAGTACACCCCGCCACTCACTCAGAGCACTACAAAAGCCAATTGTGTGTCAGTCTCTGAACAGCAGAGATGAGTACACGGTCTTTAAATTACTTCCTTTTTTTAAAAAAGGAAAAAAAAAACAAGAAAAGAGCTACTAGAATTTTCCTGCTCACACTTTTTTTTTTTTCCCCCAAACATACTTGGCCAATGCTAAACAACTACAGATTTGGACGCAACTGACATTAAACAATAGCTTAGATAAATTTTTGAAAAAATGGTAAATTTTCATGTTCTTTTAAAGGCTTTACTTTTATTTTATTTGTTTGTACTTTTCATATGTTCATATGTCCATATTTCCCTAGAGTTTCCAGACAGCAAGACACATATCCTTGTAACAAAAGAAGTATGGGAAACTCTGGAAACATCCAACTGTGTGCAAGCACTTAAAGCTCAGATATTTTAATACAAAACAAGTACCTCCCTGAAACAAACATCTCCAGATGTTTTAACATATTTTTATATATAAGTGTATATATATACAGAATGCAACTAAAGCATGAAAAGCCAAAAGAATGTTCTCATTTCCTGAAGCTGGCCAGCAAAAAGGAAAAAATGTGAATGAAGTAACAAAGATTTCGGAAGTCAGCTTTTTCTTAACAACAGCCACTTTAAAATTATCCACTTCAATTCCTTTCTAATATAACCAGCATATTCCCTGCATCTTGCAACCGCATATACAAAAGAAACCACAGAAGGGAAAAAACAAAACAAAAAAATTTTTTTCTAGGATGTTAAAAACATGACAGCAATTGACAGAAACATCTCTCTTGACAGATTATTACACTTCTCCTTTCAGCCCCAGTGACTTTACTGAAAACTCCCATCAAAACACCCTTTCATATAATAGCTTCCATTGTCTCCCTAGCACAGCACTTGAGAAAAACAAGAAACAGCCATGTTAGTTAGTAGCTGGCTGTCCCACAGTTCTGCCTCTATATATAGTTGGACTTAGCCTGTAAGATCTCAGGGAGAGAGCTCTTACTCCATTTTTTCCAATAATGCCAGAGCGCTGCAGAAAACAACACTCTAATGGTAACAGCCTTCAGTTCCTCTGAAACCTGAAAGCAGCGGATTCAGCACATTCAGAACATTTTCTATGAAGGCATGACATGCCAACAGATACAACACACATTTAAGCAAGCACGGAGGTGCTGCTGTTCTTCATGCCCCCTCTGACTATCGTCTTCTCCTCACGGGGACAGGAAACCGGGTCTCCTTCCTCTGAAGCTGAATCTGTGCAAGCTAGTTCTGTGGCAACAACGATGAGACGACTACAGGGGGCTTGTGCCTTCAGACAGGGCTCCTTGAACGGTCTGCCAGTAGCAGGCTCCTTTCCCAGTCTACTAGAGTGTGGAAGCACCACGTTCCCACTAGGAACCCCATTCTGGGGTTCCCACCCATTCTGGGTCCAGACAACAAATAAAATTTGCTTGGTCCTCTTAGATCCCAAACCTCCTCATAGGAATCCCATATTTAACATCATTCTCCAAAGCCACTGTTACCTGGTCCGGCAAAACCAGCATAAATCCATGTTTCCACTGAAATGGGTATTTCCACCTTCTTCCTGTGCCTCTCCCTCTCATAAGATCGGGGAACTGATCCCAAGCAAGACAGACCCCCAGTTTTAAATCTATATCTCTGCCTACCTACCTAGCCATCGGTTTTCAGCCAGATCAGTTCCCCGATCCAGCAAACTGTGCAGCCACATAAGCGTCAATGCTGGCACAAGAAATGGAGGGGAAAGCTTGCAGATGAGAGAAGGGAAGATCCGCGCTTGGTTGAAACGTCTCTGCAATCGTGGCCGTGGAGAAGGAGAGCAGCCCTGGCACAGCTCCTGGCCACGGGGATGGCCTGTCCTGCTTCCTGAAACCAGGCAGACATGGATCTGCAAAATGAGGTCCTGCTGAGTGAATCACAGCCCATTTACCAGCAAGCCTGGGTAACAAGAAATTAATCTAGTACAAATGTTGGTCATAAATTGACTCCAGTTTTTTTTCCACATTTCACAAGGAAGGTTTCTCTCTCTGCCACAAAATACAGGTTTATTCTACTGTCAACACAGTTTACAAGTACATGGCTTTCATCTGCAAAGCTACACACCTAAATATGCACCTATATATAATGTGGTCCCTTACAACAGAGCATTTACCAAAACGAGAGGATTTTGCAAGCGGAGGCTGCTTTGCTGATTCAGCTCCGAGTCTGCAAGGACCACGTTTCTCCTTAGAGCACTGGCTGGCAGGCTTTCCAGCGTGGCGTGCCAAACTATATTTTTCATTCCCAAATTAGAGGTCGAGCGTGCCAGGACAAAAGCAGTGAGCACTCAGAGCTGCTGCCCTTCCGAGAAGCAGCCGGTGCCTTGTCCCTGTGCGGCAGCAGCTCCCCTTGCCACCGCCTTCGCAGGAAGCTCCCATCCCATCAGGGCTCCTGGGCTCTGGGACAGCCCAGCGCCACCCGAAACCTGCCGCGCTCCTGGTCACGCTGCTGACCTCAGCCTGGCAGGCCCCCATCGCTCTCCCAGCTTGCAAATGGCCCTCCGGCGTAACATGGGGCCTGTCCCCGCCATGTCCACACGACGTCCCCGCGCAGTTCACCGGGAGGGCAGCCGGGCTGCAGCACAACTGCAATCAGTCAGTGCTTCCTCTCCTGCTGTGGGTCACACACCACATTTTTCCACTACCAGAGCAGGTTTGGGGCTGTGCTGCCCTGGCACCAAGCGCTGTAACCTCTCCTGGCTTCGCTCAGGTTCAACACCTCAACTCCCGTCTCATCCCAGGGCTGTACAGTGGTCATCAGTCATCAAGGAGGCTTCCACAGACCAAAGGCAGTCCATAAAAAACACCAAATCCACGTAAACACGTGCCAGCCTCTCCACACAGCCCACATTACCTGGATTTGGGGAAGATTTCTCTTGGTCTGCCTGTTCTGCAGAGCCCCTGTAAAGCGTCAAGGCCCTCTTTCCTCCCAAGATCAGATTTTTCAGCTATTTGTCCATGTGATCTTCCCTCCCCACATCGATCCCACAGCTGTGCCGTGCCAGCACGGGGTCTGGATGGGAGCCACTCTACCGTGTTACAGCCTCCCAAATGTCCCAAATGCCGGTTTTACTGTATTGCTTTGCTGTGGTCTTTCCTCAGAGCACCCTGCTACACTAAGACAATATATTAATACAGAAAATTCTTATTAATGTAAGTATAACAAGTTTTGCTTACTGCTCACGCTACCCAGGAAACGTTCATAAAAGCCATTAGGCTGTCTCAGTTGCTCGGGTTATCCACACCAACTTACCATCCATGACATCAACGATAAAGCTGAAGATTTTACCTTCACTGTTCTCATCAGTTCAGGTTTCATCAATCAAAAGTCCATCTACATACGCGTTCTCAGTTCTTGAGCTGTTTAATGCGAGCAATGATTAACACAACCCTAAATCCAACCAATGCACCCAGCTGGCTTAGCATTCATCTCCTTATCAAATTCTGTAGAGGTGGCTGGAGTTTTCTTAATGTGGTAAAAAGTGACAAAGAAAGGATGATCAGTGCCTGAATTCAAGGACTTCTTATTTGAAAGGTAAGGAAAAACAATTAACATGAAAAATACAGAGCATGAAACCTCATCCTGGGTGATGGCCCTGTTGTAACACTACTTTCACGCGTGGGGTGGCGAGTAATAAGGACTTACTATCAGGCACCTTTATGATACGCCAAAACAATGCCATTTATGTACTTCTCAGTGCAAGAGGAACAAGTTTTCAGACTGCAGACAAGAGGCTCTCTTGGCCTACAAATACTTTATCACTAAACAGACCACCAGTTTCTGCTTAGTGGAACCCACCAGCATCTCCAGTTGATGAGACAAATTAATTTAACTCTTTATGATAAAGAATTGCAGAGGTACGCAAAACCAGCCAGACAAATTACAGTACCTTGACTGATTCCATGGACAAGTCTTTTCTCTCTGCTTAAAAAAAGTAAGTAAGCATTTTTATGAAAATGTCGACACTTCAGAAAGGCGAAAGGCTGGAGTACTTGCAAAGGCGTGTCCTAATTTGAAAAAAAGTGTTTACTTCAGGCCACAGCCCCATGTTATGTTTTTTCTCATTGTCAAGTTGTATCAAGATGTTCCCATCCTTTCATTCCTTTAATGTACATTTCTGCCTCAGCACCAGAGTTTCTCTCCTTCCAGTTGTAACTTTGAGGTACACTGTAACAGATCACTAAAATGACAAGAACAGAAGACCGTATACATGGTTGTTTGGTTATTCATACTATGGACAGCTTATACAATATAAGACTTCAGCTGTCAAAACATAACTGTCACTTCGATTGTCCTTGTCAACAGCACTTGCCACAATGGAAAGACCTTACATAAGTAACTTTCCTTCCAACAATCAAGCTGCTTTTAGCACGGAAAATATTTAAAGTGTCCCTGCATTGAAAAATAATAAGAGACTGCATTAACTACGGAGCGATAAACTTTCAAACGGGACAAACCAGAGACGAATCAGGATGTCTAACGGGACACACTCAGTGTGAAACCGCAGCGGCAAGAGCTGAAAAGCTTGCCTTAAGTGCTTTGATAATAAATATTTTATTGCAACTTCAAAAAGAGTGTGTTAACTACGCAAGCTGCCCTCAGTATATCATGGGCCATTATTGATTCCCTGGCAGTAACCATATGGAGCCAGTTCTAAGAGACAGACCGGTGGGGTTACGGCCGCAGTTTTACTGCAGTATCGCATACAGCTTCTTATTTATGGAGTCCCTTGCCAATGCATTCAAAAGCAAACACTCTAAAGTACTTAACAGTTTTCAGCTTCACAGTCTACTTTACAGTGCAGCAAGATCTGTAAACCAAATGAGTCTACACTGGTTTTTCAAATACAGTTATTCTTCGAATACAGAGGAGCTCTCTTTGTTTAGTATTTTATTGCACGCTGGCATATATCTACTACTATAAGAAAAACTTATTTTGCATTAGAAAACTACAAATGCTTAATGTAATAATTGCTCTGAATTGTAAACTAATATTTTTCTCTGAATCCCGTGAGAAACTTGCTGCAACAATAATACATCAAGATGAATTCAGCACAACCAGCTGGAAAAACTGGTCAAAAAACCTCAACCTGTGGTTCCTTCTTGCTCTCCCCCTGCCCCCAGCCAGTCACACACTCTCAGCCCAGACATCACACAACCGCGTCTTCCATTCAGATGTTGAATTCTGGGTTCTTTTGATTCAATATGGGGATATTCATATAAGGAGCAAACGTTACCCCGACTAGTTATCGGCACCAAGAAGCACAGTCAACAATCCTGAACGACAGACTGCTCCCCAACATCGTCGCGGTTAACGGGCAAACCGCACATCTCCCCCGGCCAAAACCCTCTCCGGGGTGAGGGACCTTCGGCTACCGTCCGCTCCCCCCCCCCCCGACACTGAGCCCCAGACCCCAGCGTCCTTGGGCAACAGGCCTCCAGGTCACAGGAGCAGACTGCAAGTCCCTTCAGTTGCAAAACAGAAACAGTGGCGACAACTGCAGTTCAGGAATCCTCCATAAAGTGAAAGCGTTAAAAAAAGAACAATATTTCAGAGCGAACGTTCCTTGGAACAATAAACAATCCTACAGGCATACCTGCTCGCCACACGTCTGATCCCAGTCCACGTACAGAATCCGGATAGAGACCTCAAATCGTGCTTTTCTTTTTCTGCTCCCCAAAACTCAGATTATGTTAACTCCCTAAATCGGAACAAAAAGGCAGGACCTGAAATCCCTTGGGAGTTTCAGCGCATGGAAGCTTTTGAGATCAGCTTACATTTGTTTAAAAAGTTGTTCTGAATGAAACATTTGCATGTTTAGTGGGGGTTTTTTTCCCAGAAAGTCAAAGCAAGAAAGTGCACCAATTCTGAATCTCCTCCCCCCACATTCTACCAAATCAAAAATTTATTTTGCACAAACCTTGCCCCTTAGTTTTGTTTTGATCGCAACGAATTGGGATTACCTAAAGAAAAATCCCTTTGCCAGAAATCCTCCCAAGCAGCTCGCCCTGCGGGAACTACCTCCCCGAGCTCTGGCCCGCTGCGCCCCTCCCAGCCCGGCGAGCAGCGCTCCCTGCCACTGTCAGCAGCTCTCCACCACTCCCTCTAGCCACACTTTTACAAGAATCAATACTTAAAAAACAAACAAAAAAAAACTCTGCTTTGATCCGACGACTCAAAGCTCTGGCAAAACACAGTTGCAACAGGACCTTTGCAGCTAATACTGCGTGACCCAGTCCCTTTCAGGTGCGTGCCCAGAAGTGCTACCCGGGAAGCCCCCGTGCTCCTTCCCCACGCGTGTCCCCACCGCCCCTGCCGAGTTAGCGTGTCACACTGGCACAAAAAATCCTCACGCAACCCACTATCACGCTGCAACTTCCCCTCACTGGCCAGAGCGCTACGGTTGCAGATCCCCAGTCCCCTCTATGGCGATTTGCTCACTACAGGGGAGAAGAGAGGCACAGAGAGCACTGGCCACTTTAGGCAACAGGCCCTACGTCCGGTCCTTTCTACGTCCGTAGTTCGTATTCGAAGCACGACAGAAGCAGCAGGATGCCAGGCTCGCCCTCGGAGGCACGGCAAGGTTTGCTCCCCCGGGGCGGCCCCGAGCACGGCCCCAGCTCGCCCGCTGCGAGGACACGCCGCGTTCGCCTCGCGCCCGAGAAACCTCCTCCCGGCGGCCTCCGCGCAGCCGCAAACGACGCGGGCTCCCAGCAGAAAGCTCGGCCGAGCTCCCTTTCGGCAAGTTGTGGCAAGCGTAAGCTCTACGCTCACTTTGTCCCAAAATTTCTAACCGTGCCGGGGTGTAACCTAGTTCATATCCTGGTGAGCGTGTAGCAGCAGCCCGGCTGGCCTGCTTACTGACAGCTTCAGCAGGGTAGGTGCCAAATCTGTGATTGCTCTATTTAGCCGGCGAGGCAGGCTCCGTACCGGCGCTGAAGCACCTGCGTGGCGCTGAGCAGCGTGCGCATCCTCTGCGCACTGTCGGTTTAGCAGCTCTCCAAAATACAGGAAGAAACCTGGCTGGCAAACTCCTATAACCCACTAAGAAAGCAAGTGAGTGTCAGAACAACCGAAGGAAAAGAAGTTGCCTTAGTAAACCCGGACAGTGGAAGCAAATTATCCTTCTTCTCAGAGCGTGGCTCCACAGTAGCCAAAACTAAGCTAGGTTAGGCCTGGCAAGTTCCTGCCCCTTCCCTGGCCAGGCCTTCCCCCTCCTTCCTTGCCCCAGCACTGCACCGCTTGTTGCGCAAGTATCAGCGCGCCGATACTGAGAACGGAGCCAGCTCAACACACCGCCGTGCCCACCATCAGCAGAAGATGGTACCACAGCAGCCCCGATTTAGTGTGACTTAAAGACTGTTGCTGTAATATGTTTTCTCTAAAGGTGTGGCCCAGTGTTGGAGGAAAACGCAACAGAAATCAGCCGCGGGAAAGATAAGGCGATCTTTAGTCTAAAGTCTGCATGCCAGCAGTTGCTCCCAAGCTGCGGGCCCAGGCCACCACCGAGCTGGGGGTCGGATACTAAATCACTCGTCTCCCTTCCCTCGCCCCCCAAACACAAACGGATTTCAATATACTGGCACAACATTTGCAGAGCGCTTTAATTTGGGATATTTCATCCCAAGAAACGATTGAAATACTGGGCAACTAGCATAACAGCCTCGCTTTCCATAACTTATCACCACCGACCTTTCCGTAAGATACAACTACTGAATAATTATAGGATGTCCATAAAACGACTTGCATCAAGCTCACCACATACATACCCAAGGTTAGGTAGTATCACAGTTTTAAAACAGCACGCTCCCGTAGGAAAGGATGCCTTTGAACGCAAAGAGCTCTAAACCCACCCCCAGCCTCAGTGAAGAAGCAGCAGCTTCTGTTTTATTCCCAGTTTGCTGCCCCAAGGACACAAGCCGGGCCCACTGTTCCCTCGGTGAATGCAACCCTAGCCTTAAAGACGTGACATGAGAGATGAGGAACGCCCACTGCATCAACTCAGCGGGTCGCTGTCACTTCGTGGTGGCCCAGTACAAAACCGGCTGCTTGACAAAAGAGGAAAGTTCCCACTCAAAGTGGAAATTCGGTGCAGCTGGAGCCCAGCTGCGCCACGGCGCACCTCTTCCGCCCCGACCCCAGCTCCCCCCC